GAAACTGATTGTCAATTAAACAATTGCTTGAATGTTCAGAGGTATAATTGAATTAATATTGACATTATTGTGAAATAAATTCCTAACTATCCTTCATTCAACTCTAATCACAACTTTCATACTCTGTTTTTACTGCAAGTTTCTTACCTTTTGATTGTTCCTGTTCTTGACTTCTGAATGTTACAAATCTTCCAATTTTGTATGGCTCAAATGGTTATAGTTCTGTGAAATGATAATTGATTTCTTAATTCCCTGTGGAGACGATATTTTAATCTTAAAAATTACTCATTACTTGCTGCAATTCTTAGTGCACTTGCTAGTGTTTAGAGATTATAAACAATAGTAAGCAACGGGATGGACTTTATTACTTGACTACAAAGACCACAAAAAATTCCAACCTTCCTATCCAGTTAATTTATCCATTCAGTCAAAGCCCCCACCCCTCACAGTATTTCGACCATCTTCTAGACTTGACTTCATGGCCAAGACCTTACTTTATTTTCCTTTACAACCAAATAATACCTTGTAATGTTTGTGCTCTTGCAAGACAAACAAGACTTCCTTTTTCCAATAGTTCTATTTCCTTTGTTAAACCATTTGACTTAACCGATTGTGATATTTAGGGGCCCTTCAAAGTTCCTTCTCTCCTTGGTGCAAAATACTTTTAACGGTTGTGGATGATTTTTCTCGCTTTACTTGGATTTTCATCATGCATCATAAAAAAATAGACAAAAAATATTCTATCTATTTTTTTTTTCTTTTGTGAAAACTCAATTCTTTACTGTTATAGCAAATATTCAAGTTTATAATGGAGGGGAATTCTTTTCTATGCGAGATTTTTTCAAACAAGGCACCATTTACCAACATTCCTGTTTTACACAACTCAAACAAACGAAGGTGATAGAGCGCAAACATAGGCATATTTTGGAGTCACCTTAAGTTCTTCATTTTCAAGTTCACCTTCCTTTACATTTTTGGGATGAATGTGTCTCTACTTTTGTTCTTATAATTAATCAATTGTCTATACTTGTACTTTCTAACAAAACTCCATTTGAGAAACTTTATAAAAAAGCCCTTCTTATTCCCACCTTAGAGTTTTCAATTGTCTTGCTTATGTTACTAATGTCCATGTTTCACAAAAATTTGCTCCTCGAGGCACACAATGCATTTTTAGTAGTTATCTTATGCTCAGAAAGCTTACAAATTATATGATACTAATATTCCAAGTTTTTCCTTTGAATTGGTTTCCCTTCCCTCCACCTCAACCAAACTTTGTCTTACTCCTGTTGTTATCTCAGACTCCTCAACCACCTAACCAATAGCTGTGGAACCCGTCCTACAAATTCAAATACTTCACTAACAAATAATTTAGAAATTGACCGATTAATTATTTTATCCACAGAAAATAAAAGAATTTGAATGTGTTGTAACATTATCTACTACTAATAAAGGAAGAGTGTGTTGTTTATGAACAAGTGTACTCGTCAAAAAGTAATAAAAAGTTCTAAAAATAAGTTCCAGAATTATGTTCCATGAGGATTGTTTTCAATTATTAAAAATTTCTTAATTTAATTATTTGAGCCTAAAGAATGCAAAATTAAAGAGAAAAGCAAGAATTCCATTATAAAATCAATTATTAATAAAATAAGTAACACAAATTTCTCATTAAATCCTTTATGTTATTTTTTTATTTAATTCTAAATTCAATTTTTTGTAATTACCAATTATTTGTATAAATGCTATCAATACCCAATGGTTATGTAATATTAATATTCTTTTCTCTAAATTAACATACACAATGATCATACAAGATATTAATTTAAGAAAGTATAAAACATAAAAAACCTATGAAGTTGTTAATTTAATAACATGGTCATGTAATATTAATATTCTTTTCTCTAAATTAACATCCATAATGATCATGCATGGTATTAATTCAAGAAAACATAAAGCACCCATGAACTTGTTAATTTAATAACGATTGGAAGAAAAAGATTGATTTGGTCTACCCAATTCTTTGTCTCTTTTTATCCTAGAAGTCCATTAACTAATTGAGCTACGGTTGCCGGACGATGTAATTAATTAGAGTTATGTTACGAGTAGTTAATTCACAACATACAATTATGCGTAATAGGATAAACACTAATCACGTACAAAAATTAACTTAGATTCAAATGTCAAAATTTCATGAACTCATGAACAAGAATTCTTATAGTCCTAACTATGAACTTAGTTACTCATGCTAAAGGATGAAAAGAAAATAATATTGAAGATTATCCCAAAGATTGAGGATGAGAAAAGTTTCCAATCTTCAAATACGATTGCTCAAAGCTTCAAGTTCCACTAAAAGTATGCCAAAGGATCGAGAGTAAGGTAGAGAGAGAGATGAAAAGGTGTCTTCCAAAAAGGTATTCCCCGCCATTGTTTTTGAAACTTCTTTAATAGAATTTGAAAATCATAAAAATGTTAGATTACCGTAGGTGAGCACGGCCATGCAAGCTAATATACACTGTTGTGTATAGGTTGAAAGCACTAATCTCATGCTAGATGCTAGGGTTTAGGCATGATGATGGCTGCGAATCAGTGTAAAATTTAATTAAAATAAAGATCAAACAAAAATATATAAATTTTAAAAACGTGACAAAATATAGATTTATTACGTGTCATGTTTATTTCAAGTATAATTTTGTTCTTCGTCTTATTTACGACTTATTTTGCAACACCTTGCAAAGCGTAAAGTTCTTAGTTAGCACCAACAAGGGTTGATGTGGACTCCGGAGGTAAACGAGTTGCACACACTGTGGAAGGACCTAGATAATTTTGAGAGTGTCTCCTATTTGCATGGTATCCAAGGATCACAATGCTTATGGGAATATTTTGGTCAGAGGCTAATAAAGTTTTATCAGATTATGTTTAAATTTTAAAAAGCATTACTTGGTGTGAACTACATGTAAATAATTCTTATTTAAATTTGGTGAGTGATAAACTATGAAGGTTACAAGCATTGCTAATAAATTTTTATTTATGGAATTTTAGGTGGTCTGCTTGGTGGTGTTTTATACTGTCATCTTTACTGTTGTGGGGACAACAACTGATTTTTTTTTTATTCTGAAGCTGAAGGAAAATCTATAAATAGTTGATATGATTGTTTTGTTGTATTTTGACATTTGCTATATTCTTGTATTACTCCATATGGTTCTGCTTTCTACTCTAAATTATTTGTTCTACCAATTTCCTTTGCTTTGCTCTTGATGTAACCCTAAATCATTTGGAGTTATATTTAAAGGCCTATTACGATTTGGGGCCAGTGATTCTGTGGTTGTTAAGTTCTAGTGTAAATTGGCACCTGAATATGAGGAACAATGCCTTGTGTGTAAATGGTAGTAGATTAAAATGATGGATCAACGAATTAAAATACTTATGAAGAGAAAACAAAAGTTTAAAATTAAGCAAAATTCATATTAACAATAGTTTATGGTTGTTTATTCTTACATAGTTATTGATGGTAGCACAGTTAGCCTCGTACGTACACATAAATGTAATTGTAAAGTGCTAAATTGATCATAATTACTTGTTTTTATGTGATTGAGCCTAAATTTTGTAAATTTTAAAAGTATTAACGTACTCTTTTGAATAAAAATTTTAAAGTATTTTTTGTATTTGGTCATTTTTTAAATTAAAAAGTTAAAGCAATATTTAAAAGAGGTCAATTTTTTAGACAAGTGCTTTATCTTTTTTAAAAATAAATAAACACTGAGAATGAATTAAAATAAGTGTTACTAGCCTTTCTCAAGTAGACTTATATAATGTCATCTAACGAAAAATAAATGCTTAGTAAAAATAAAGAGTTAGCACAAAGAGAAAGACAAAGCAAAAATGAATTGCATAGATATACAAACAACTATTTTATATTGACATCATATATGAGATAACACTGAACAAAAATATTAAAAATAAACCTTTAATTTGGCCCTTCAAAACTATATGGGGGATCACATTATTTTTCTAAAATTTTCGTTGCCAAATTTTTTAAAGAATATTTTTACTGTCACTTTCATTTTTAAATATTTTATCACTATTTTAGATTTTTAGAAATTAAATAATTTATTAATTAAAACATCGTCAATCATTACTCCTCTTTTATTTAATATATTAATATTTTATATAAAATATATAAGTCTACATATTTTAAAAGCTCAAGTAATTAGTTCCTAAATACATATCACATTAAGTTTTAGTCTTTATAAAAATTTTATCCAATTTTAGTACTACATTTAACAAAAAGCATATGATTTTAGTACATGCTAGCTAAAATAATATACTTGTTTTGTGTTTAGAGACTAAAATCAAATAAAAGGTTTACAGTGATTTTATCCAATTTTATTCTTTGAAAGATCAATAATTGTATATTATCAGGATTAATTATTTAAAAAAAAACTATACATAAATACCAAACATTCAGTGATATGTTGTTGATTTTTATAGATAATAAAACTAAAAATAATAATATTTTATGGACTAGTTACTTAATTAAACTTATTGCAAATTTGTCTTTAATACATTTTTGAAAGGTTGTTGAATATACTTGGTAGCACTTTTGTTTTTCGTTTTCAGGTTTTAATAAAAGGTTGGTGATATTTGAAACATCATTTTATACTACTTTAAATTGACTATTATAATTTTTTAATGTATTAAATATTTATTAATATAAAATTGACAGTGATAATTATTCCATGTAAAAGAAGATATAAAGTGTCATCTTAATTTACAAATCAGTGAAATCACCATCTAAAAAATATTGAAAAAGTTATGTAAAATAAAAACAGTTAACAAGAAGGCATAAGCGAAAACATGACATAATATTACAGTTTTAATAGCAGCAACACATGAAAGTGAAACATCAACAAGCTGAACAGACGCAGTGCGAGAAAGTAAGAGACATAAATTTGAAGTACAATATATGTTATTATATTGCAAACTTAAAAGGTGGAAGTGTGGAACTAGCAAGGTTGAGTTCCACACGTATAGTAACAGAAGCACGCTGTTCCAATGCCCTGACGGTGACATGCCCCAAAATTAGCCTGTTCCTGATTTATGCATTGATTTTTGCAGCCATTCGAATCAAAACAAGGCCCAAACCATGTTTTGCTACGACATTGACAAGGTTCTCCTGCTTGTACCTCTGCATAAGATAACAAAATCATTAGTCTAATTTATTGAAATAGGATATTTTAATTTATCTTAACAAGTTTTATGGTTAATTTTATGATATAAGATTTAAAACAAACATTTAATTATACTGTGTATTCAAATGTTAGCTATATAGTTATACCCCATATGAAGAAAAGGAGGAGGCTAAACACAAAGATGGTTGAGAACTTAGGAGCAAAGGAAGCCATGCTTGATGCTAAATTTAAAGGCAAATGTAAATATAAATTATGTTCTATATGAAATGCATAGCCACAATTGGGTGTTATATATAGCTACGGGCATTGCTATGATCTTAGCAGGTGTGTTTGTGTAGAGTTTGTCTTTTTCCCTGTGATACAATTCTGCATTCTTATTCGTGTTTCATGCTTTGCTTGTATCGTCTTTCACTCAAGATTTCGTTCTTCTTTTGTTATTTCATTTTATTTGCTCCAATACCTTACTCTAGTTATTATATATATCAAACTAGATGACCATTCATGCGTTGTACAAGTTTATCTATAAAAGATTAAAATAATTATATTTAATGAAAATAATTGATATACACATATAATTTTTTGTACATCGTCATTATTTTAATCGATTATATAACATTTGTAGGATTTAGTAAATAATTTATTTTTTAATATTTTAATCTCTTAAGTAAAATAACGTAAATAATAAAATATAATTATTGATCTTTCTCTGAATTTATATCTAAGTAGTATTCTTTTTTACGCCTTCATTCTTAACATTGATTTGCTTATCGTTTTTCTTTTATTATTCTAAATCTAACAAATGAAAATTTTCTTTAACATCATATGGCAAAAATTTCTTTGCTTCTTCCCTAACCCCGTTTTGAAAAACAACATAAACTTGACATTATATAAGTTTTGTAGTATATGATGTAACGTCATCAACTAAAATTGGTTTAAGGAAAATTTGTTTGAAATATTATCTTTACATATGTTTCTATCTAAGTCATATTGCAAATAGTGCACATTTAGCAATAATATATAGTACTTTTAAAAAGCTTAATTAATCATTGTTGGTCCTATAGAAATTAATCTATTTATTAATACACTTTTACATGTTAAATCTGTTCATGCTTGAATTAATAAGAATTATCACTTTATGAAATAAAAATAATTAAATTGAAAATAAAAATTTAAACATTTTAGAAAAGGTTAAGTATTAAGGTTTAATTCATGTTTAACGTTAGAATAAATTGATTAGTAAGTAAATCAATAAAAATGTTATAAAACTCAAAATAATTATATGAAAATAACTATTTAAACATTTATTTTTAACATAAAAATTAAATGATTAGTGTAAAAACAAATGAAAATATTCTAGAACTCAAATATGAAACTATTTTAAATATTTTAGACTTGGAACAGAGCATCATGATCCTTTAAAAGAGTTTATTCTACATTACAATTGATCTTTATAGTTTTTATAACCTCAAGCACCGTAGGTATAGGGTTTTGATGTAACAATAATGACAAAAGTGAGAGTTATTAAAAATGGTATTGATGTATATAAGATTAAGATTTATTAATAAAAAAAAACCTCTGTAAAGCCACTAGATTGGATTATTTCTTAGTTTTGATTCCATAAGTTGGATGGATGCTTATGATATCTTGTAATCTATTATTAAATGTTTGACTTAGCCCTTTTGTACGTAATTATGATAAAATGTTAGTGTGTAAGGATAATATTAATATAATCTTTTAAGCATTTTGTGTGTTACTTTTCATCTAAAATTAGAATTACACTTCACTGCACTGATATGAGATCCTGATATTTATTATATAATTTAGTAAAATTTCAATTTTAATTAATAAATAATACAAAAAATAATTAAAAACTATAATTAAAATTTTTAATATCTTGATTCCTTAAAATGACATGTGGAATTGTGACAAATCTTCAGTTACAAATTAATGTTATTTTAGTTAACTTTAATGTGTGAAAAATGTATGTAACACCCTTATTTTTGCTTTTATTATTATAACATTTTATGTGGCTTGTTAGTGCATGTTGTTTTGAATTAGAAGAGTTTGAATGGTGATAGTTGCAGGGAATCTCTTTCAAGTGAGATATATCTCACTTATGAGAGATTGAACGTTCTGGACCAAATGATTTTAGAACACTCTCGTTCAAGCGAGATAAGCCACGCTCAAGTGATATAAGATAAAGTTACTTCAACTGTCTTCTTGCCCAAACGAGATAAAGCTTGCTTAGGCGAGGAATCACAGGAAAAATGAGTAGTTCTCTGGATCCCTTCTCGCTCAGGTGAAAATAACCCTCGCTCAAGCGAGAAAATCAGAAAAACTGAAAAAATCCCTCTGTTTGGTTTTCTTACTCAGGTACGAGAGGGCTCGCCCAAACAAGAATTAGTTCGCTCAAGCAAGAGCATGCGAATTTGAGGAGTATTTAAGATATTTCAACTCAGAAAACTTACATTACAATCAAAGAAACTTTTTCTAACTCTTTTCCCTAAACTCTCTCTTCTCTTCCTCTCAGAAAACTCTTGAGCTCTGAACTTGTTTCGAATCTGAGCTTGAACTTTCATTCTACAGAATTATAGTATGTTTCTCAGAACTTGGTTCTTTAATCTCATATCTATTTTTCTCTATTTTCTCTCTTTTTAAAATGTACTATTCTCTATAATATGTAGGAAGACCTTGATTTTTTGGATGATTTGTTCCACTAATTTCTTCATAAAACTATCTATTTGAGGTAAGAAAAGCTATATTGCATTACTGAGAACATGATGTATTTTGCGCTTATGAAAATGTTATTGTGTGCTTTCTTGTTTGTGAATATGTTTTTTAATGAAACTATTGATGAAATATATTTTCATGATTCTTGGTGAATGAAATGATGTGTTGTATTAAATATACACGTTTTGGATTAAGTTTAGAGGTGTTCGACCTTTGGCATGATTGATTGAAATATGATATAAATAGTGGACTTGAATAAAATAGAAAGAGAAAATGATGAAAAATATGTTAGCATGAAAGTAACAGGTTTAGGTTACGATGAGAAATAAAAAAAAGTAAAGTCATAATGAAAAATGAAAAGTGATAAGGATAAATATGGATAGTTCAAAAATATACTGGAGGTGTGGAAGATGGAGGCAATTTTGGAAATCTTGAGAAAATGAGTGGTGGATGTTTTTCTTGAATTTGTGCATGACTAATGAGAGTAAAAACAACACAGACCTCACACTCGTTTCCTAAACTAAACTCCTAACCATACTTTTGCTAAAAGGGGGGGTCGACACATGTTATATTTGTGTTATTGTGCCTATTCAGTAACTATCTATACTAAAGAAGACCTCAAGGGATCGCAGGAGCAGTGAATGATTGAAATAAAGAATTTAGGAATATTAAAAAGGATGGTGGAATGAAATTATAATATTCATTATCATTATATGTATATGAAATGTAATTGTTATTTTTTATTGATTGATGTGTTATTCATGTATGTAGTACTTGACTTTATTGTTAATCATGTTTAGTAATGAAAAAAGATGCTCATCCTTACTATATATTTCAGAGAACAAGGATGATGGATCCCCAAAGACAAATTAGATTAGTAGAGTATTTTGAAATTGCATATTAAATTATGTATTTAATGAATACCAACGTGTATGTTATTTTCAATTTGTTGTAGATACTGATAATGTATTGGATAATGTATGTACTTTAGAAATGAACATAGAGTATAGTGTCCTTTTAGAATACCCTATTTGTGGTAGGATTCGCCATACACTAAGTTTGTATATATATATTGAGGAATGATCAAGATGCCAGAACCGGCAAATTACTTGTATACCTTTCTTAATCATGACTATATGGTCAGAGGATGAGAACTTGACACACGAAGAGCTAGCCGAGACAGAGGATTGGCATAGAGAGAAGATTAGGACTGGGTCCTCGATATATTTTGGTGTGGGAATAAACTACTCATTAGGACTTGAGTTATATTATCTACTTTTATAAATTATGTATATGAATCATAATGTGTTTTGAAATTATAATCTGTAAATACCTAACTTTCGTATATTAATGAAGTTAGTATACATGTATTTTATTTCAGTTTCAGTCTAAATTTATTTATTTCTTATTAATTTATTACTCAAATGTTTTGTAAGCGAGTAACAAAGATAAAGGTTCAAAATTTTATTTAATGTTGCTTTATGAGAATAAGTATATTTATTTTATTTTCTCTTTTCAATATAAAACTATTTTACAAATTGTACAAATAAAATAAGGACGTTTTATATAATAAATTTAAAGATTTAATTTAAATTTTAAGTAAAATAAATATAAAATTTTAAATGTGTCATTTTTTAATCTATAAATATGTCATTTATTTTAAATATATAAGTTATATAAGGTGATACAATTTATAATTTGTATATAAGTCACGTGTACCACTCTTTAGTGACTTATATTTTATTTAGGGATGAACAAATTTTATGCTCATGCATAATTGTAGAACCTTTGTACCACTAATGTAAAACATAAGTTGCATCAATCTTATGCTTATGCAACTTATGCTCAAACACAGGAGTGTTCATCCCTAAACTATAGTTTTAAAAATAGTGTTTTTGATTGAAACTGCCGCATGAGAGGGAAAGTGGGAGCTAAGATTTATGGGAATCATACATGAATGACGTGTAATGGTGTTTGTGTAGTTTGAATAATAATGAATACGTTTAAATACTAGACTTAGTTTAATAAAATATAAAATATTAAAATAGAAATTTGAGCATGCTACCTTAATTTTATTTCTCACCCCAAGAGCATAACAATTAAATAAAATTTTAATTAGTAAAAAATAAATGTAATCTTTGCATAAAACAAGAGATTAACTTAAACTCTTAAACATAACAACCACCGATAAAACATACACAACACATAAATAGTTGTCAAATGTCTTCCACAGTTGTGTATATATTTAGATATTACTTTGTCTTTTAATACTTTTTACCATTCCCATAAACTTGAAAGAATATTTTATATTTTTTTAAATTAACGATTATGATTGCTCTAATATTTTAAAAATTTTAGAAAAAAAATGTCTTTTTATGATGGACCATTAACACTCACTAATACAAAAATGACATTTTACATCAGTTAAAAATGACATTTTACATCAATTATCACGCCAATATAGATATAACTAATGTCGTAAGTAGTGATATTCTACATTAGTTGATGTAAAAAAAAATATTCTACATTAGTTTTATAGGTAACTAATGTAGAAAATATATTTTATATATTAATTTTGCTAAGAACCGATGTAGAATATGTAATCTTTCTACATCGATTTTGATTACAATTGATGTAGAAAATATACTTTCTAAATCAGTTATGGTCACAACTATTATAGAAAATATACTCTCTACATCAGTTGTGACCATAACCGATATAGAAAATATACATCCTATATCGGTTATGGTTACAACTATTGTAGAAATATACATTCTACATTGGTTATAGTTACATACATAATATAAATATACTTTTTACATTGGTTATGGTTACAACTGTTATAAAAAGTATACATTTTTTAGTAGGTTTTTTATTTAATAAATATTTATAAAATTTGAAAGAACATCCACATTTTATTATATATAAAAGGAATAATTTGATATATAAGTCAATTTTAATCAATCTAATGTTTACAAAGAAATTGAAGAATTGTAATCTAAAATAAACTTTGCCCAGTGTGTTCTTATTTCATTAATCTCCTATTCAAGGATTGGATCAAATTATGAAAATATCTAAAAAATCAAATAACAAATAAACATTAGCTTTATAACTGTAAACTAAAAAGTATTATGTTCTTATATTCAATTATCATACTTACCAAAACTCAAGATTCTGTATTGCTAGCTGTGATGACAGTTAGCATATGCCTCATGACATATTAATTATAAATTCCTTCCTTTGCCCTAATGTTTCCTTGAGAGTGGTCATCTTGATTTCCTAAATATTTAGTAAGAATGAGCCTTTTTTTCTTATTACAAAATATTATTTACCATAATATCAGGCAATACATATATGAATAATACATCAATCAATCAAAAATAATAATTACAATTCACATCAATTTCATATACATTTAACATTCATTAATAACATGATTTTATTCTATTGTTACTCATAATATTTATGAATTTTCTATCTCAAGCATTTGTTGCCCTTGAAATCTTGAAGTCTTCCTTAATATAGATAGTTGCTAAATTAATGGACATCAGCCTTAGCTACCAAAATTATATTATTAGCAAAAAATAAATGAAAAATAGTAGGATCAGTATTACTAAAAGGAAAAGGAATCCAATCATTTCCACTAATCTGCCTGAATCATTATTATTCTCTTTTATTTATGTACGATTAATATTGTGAATGATTTTAGTACTACATTTAACAAAAATCATATAATTTTAGTATACGTTAAAAACTAATATAATGTATTTTTTGTGTTTAGAAACTAAAATTAAATAAAATTTTTACAGTAACTTTTATTCAATTTAGTCTTGAAAATATCAATAATTATATATTAACAGGATAATTATTTAAAAATTAAATAATTATACATAAAAACCAAACATTTAATGATATGTTGTTGAATTTTATAGATAGTAAAATAAAAAATAATAGTATTTTAAAAATAATTACTGATTAAACTTATATTTTTATTAAAGAATTGAGGAAAAAGAAGTGACGGGCCCTAGGATTACACGTGGATATTGCAATTTGTATCGTCTTTCACTTTAGGATATGGCAATTTGACGTGTAACAATACTTGTATAGTTGAAATAATAATGAATAAGTTTAAATACTAAACTTGATTTAATCAAATATTAAAACAGAAATTTGTGCTTGCTACCCACTCAATTTTAATTTTTCACCCTGACAGCATAACATTAAATAAAATTTAAGTTAGTAAGAAAGAAATGTCTTTGCGTGAAACCAGAGATTAACTTAAGCTCTTAAACATAACAATCACTAACGATAAAACACACAGTTGAAGTTTAGAGTAAAACAACAACATCAGCCAGAGACATAATAGAGGCAAAAATTATTGATTTTTAACAATATTATAATTTTATTAAAGTTTAGTCCGAAAATTATAAAAATAACATAAATTTAGTTCTGAGTGAGAAACTAAAACCATGTCATTTTATTTAGGGATTAAAACTAAATAAAATTTTTAGAAATAAAACAAAACATTATCATATTTTTAGAAAGCAATAATTTATTAAACCGATAACACATTGCTTCAATTATTATATTGCAAACATAAAAGGTGACGTTGGTGAAACATGGTTGAAGAATTAGCATGGTTGAGTTCCGCAGTGGTAGTAACAGAAACACGCAAAACCAAAGCCATCTTGGTGGCAACCCCCGAATATAGCGTTTTCCTGACTGATGCATTGATCTTTACAGCCATTAGAGTTTCAACAAGTACCAGACCATGTCTTGCTACGACATCGACAAGGTTCTGCTTGTACCTCTGCATGTGTCAAGGAAAACAATGTCTATAACTAATTAGTTATACAGGTAATGAGTGGATGTCTCATTAAATAAGAGTATAAAACTAATTAACCAATTCATGTATTTGAAAATGAGTCTTTGTTTTTTAATAATTTAAACTAAAAAAATGTTGATAATAGTTTCTTATAAATAGTAAAAAAGAGCATTCGTTTAGTTAGTTGTAATTGTACCCCATGTAGAGAAAAGGAGGAGGACAACGCAGAGCAACATAAAGAAGGTGGGGAATTTGGGAGAAGGGGAAGGCATGCTTTACTTGCACCGAATGCACGGCCACATTTGTGTATTATATATGGCAAGACAAAGACAATATGGTTGCTTTCGATTCCAACGTTTGAGCATGAGTGTACATACGTTTGAGAATGTAACTCCACATTGCCGCTTCATGGTGTCAAGAAGGGAAGTTTTTACTAATATAATATAAAAATAAAATAAAATTACCTAAATAGACCGGTGCTCACAAAATTTACAGAATTAGACCCAATTACTGTAGCAGTAATTGGGTAGCCAGAATTCGGTCCCTAGGCCACCGAATTCTGGAAGTTGAATTTTGATTTTTTTTCAATTTTTTAAATATTTTTATATAAATAAATAAATTTAATTATTTAAATTATTTTTATATATCTATATTCTATTATGTGAAAATAAATAAAAATAAAAATAATATTTATTTTACATGTTTATTAATTTTTTTTTACATAATTATGATAATAAATAATATTTTTATTTTTGTTATCATATTATTTAATATAATTTTAATTTTTGTAAAACGGTATTAATATTATATTCTGAAATTATATTTTTGTTTATTTAATATTATTTAAAAAAATTACAATAATAATTAAATTAATTTTAAATTTATATTTAATAAAAATTACAATAATAATTTATTTAATTTTATATTGTTGTAAAATAAATAAAACTATGAAATAATAATAATAAGGTTATTTATTTAATTTGAGATTTAATCTTTATTAAAATTTATACATAATTATTTATTTAAAAAATATGTTATTAATATTAATAAACATTATTAAATAATATTATGTATATATATATATATAATATTTAATATAAATTACTAATACTAAAATTTATAAGTTGCAATAACATTCATAAAATTAAAAATTACATGAAGAAAATTATATTATCTAATATTTATGTTTATATATTTATATTATGTTAATCTGTGTGACAGATTTTGTAAATTCCTTGAGAAAGTCGACTTCTGAGAGTGGTTAGAAACGAACCGCTCTCCAAAGTCTACTTCTAAGAGCGGTTAAATACGAACCGCTCTCCAAATTCTACTTCTAAGAGCGGTTAAATACGAACCGCTCTCCAAAGTCTACATCTAAGAGCGGTCAATTTTGAACCGCTCTCCAAAGTCAAAATCTAAGAGCGATCAATTTTGAACCGCTTTCTAAAGTCGAATTCTAAGAGCGGTTCAATTTGAACCGCTCTCCAAAGTCGTACACGCATGAAGTGGAATGAGTTGATCTGGAGGATTTGGAGAGCGGTTCAAAACCAACCGCTCTCAGTATTCGAATTTCGAGAGCGGTTCGTTTTAAACCGCTCTCAGAAGTGAACTCATTAAAATTAATTTACAAAATTGAGGGAATGTATTTGTCACACAAATTAATATAATATAAATATTTATTTTCACACAATATAAAAATAAAAATATAATCCAAATAATAAATTTTATTTTATTATTTAAAACTATTTTTATTATTAAATTTGACAATATATAATTATTATATAAACATAAATATTAGATAATATTTTTTTATTATATATATAAACAAAAATGCAAATTATGTATGGAATTTGGTGAGATTTTTACATAAATAATATTAAAAAAAATAATAATTATAATAATAATTGAATAATTTTAAATTTATATTTGATAAAAATTACAATAATAATTTATTTAATTTTATATTTTTATAAAATAAATAAAAGTATTAAATAATAATAAGATTATTTATTTAATTTGAGATGTTAATCTTTATTAAAATTTATACATAATTATTTATTTAAAAAATATTTTATTAATATTAATAAACATTATTAAATAATATTATGTAGATATATATATATAATAATAATATATTTAATATAAATTACTAATACTAAAATTTATAAGTTGCAATGACATTCATAAAATTAAAAATTACATGAAGAAAATTTTAAAGTAATAACAACAACATAAATCAATGACGGGAAGTAGAAGCTTGAGTAATGTTTGGACATGTTTTCCTTGTGTGACCAGGGGTATGACAATAAGAATAATTTTTTTGCCGACTTTGTTGTTCTCTAATGTCCATCTCTGTCCTTATCTTACTAGACTTGGGTCGACTCTTTGAAGTTCTTTTCAGTTCTGGATTTGGACACAAAGTTGGGCCCGTGTAAGTTGGCCAATAGTCTTCATGTCTGAGTTCTCCAAACTGACCTTCGTATATCTTAGAAACTTGTTGTAAGGTATACATGGGAGATATGTATATGTCAAAGTTGTGGTGTGCGTATAAGCATGAAGCAAGTACATGCAAGCATGGGATGTGAACTTTTTGAAACTTGCCACAATCACACCACATTTCATCTAACCGTACTGTAAATCTTCCTACGGGTCGAATTTCTGTCAGATGTTGCATTTCTTCGACTAAAAATCTAGTGCTTGTTCTGTCAAAGGTGATGACTCTATGAGTGTTCGCATTTGACTGTGCATCTTGAATTGCTTTAGTTGCAACCTCCGAGTACATATGTCCAGCATTAATCATTGCATTTACTTCTCTGCCTCTGTCAATGAAGAACTTATTGCAACGGGTGTATGTTGCCAGGACCATAGAGCAAATTGGCAAGTTTTTGGTTTTCTTCAAGACCGAATTGATTGACTCTGCTAGATTTGTTGTCATGTGCCCCCAGTGTCGTCTATTGTCCCATGCCAGTGTCCATTTTTCCCTTGGGATGTTGTCCAACCATTGTGCAGCTTCAGGATTATTATCTTTTACTATGTTGTAATAGTAAAAGAATCTCGGTTCAGTCATCCCATATGCTGGAAACAAGATTACAAAAAAAATTAATATAACTAGCTAAGCAATTGTATAAAATATTAATGAGAATATAAAGTACGTAAAAAATTAAAATTACCCATATTGATGACATCTTTCTTCAGTGCAGCGTTTTTGAATCGTCGTATGAAGTTTTGTGCAATATGTCTAATGCAATAGACATGGACAGAATTGTTTTCTGTCCAACCACTTCCATTTTTGGAGTATGCACTTCTTATGGCCTCGTGACGATCCGAAATGAGGCACAACCCCTCTTGCGGAGTTACGTACCTCCTTAAGTTTTTCAAAAAAAAGAACCATGCATCGCTAGTTTCACCTTCTACCACAGCAAAGGTAATGGGGATTATGTTGTTGCGGCCGTCTTGTGCAACTGCCACTAATAAAGTCCCTTTGTATTTGCCATACAAAAATGTTCCATCCACTTGAACAATTGGTTTGCAGAAGGCAAAACCATCAATGCATGGCTTGAAGGTCCAAAATAACCTCTTGAAGAACACATTCCCCTCGTCAAGCAAGCCACCCTTGTATGCTGGTTGTGTACTCAATTTCCAGATGAAGACTGGAATATACAGTTGCATTGCAAGCAACTGTCTAGGTAACTTATGGTATGACTCCTCCCAATTTCCAAAGATATTTTCAATGGCATGTTGTTTCCCTAACCATCCCTTCCTATAGCTGATTGTGTAACCCATTGTGGACTTTATGTGGGCTAAGATTGTTGTGATGGGTGTGGATGGATCACTCTGTATTATTTCACGAATCCCATGAGAAATCATTCGTGATCCCAAGTTTTTATGATCCTGTGAAATGAGTGGGGAAGCACATGTGTGGCACCCATCAAGCTTCATTATTTCCCAGTGTTGCTCTTTGGTGCGCAATATTGCACGACATCTCCAAGAACAGTTGTTGTGAACGCATTTCACGACAAGCCTAGTTGTGCTTGACATCTTCACCTTGTAAGTGCAATGATTGACAATGTAAAATCTATTTATGGCATCTTGCACTTGTTCTTTTGTTAGGAAGCGCTGGCCAACAAATAGTGTTCCAGGTGGATACACTACCATTTCACGTTCAAATACATGGCCAAACTCAGAGTCATGTTCTTGTATTTGACTGGAAAAGTCTAAAAAATGTGGAGGTAGGTTGTATAATGGTAATGGTTGTGATGGTGGAATATTTGCAAGTGGGAGGGAGTCTTCTTCATCATCCTGCTGTTGAGATAGGATTTCATCTTCGTCCTCGCTAAAAGGATCAAATACTTCGTTTGGGAGACCCACAACAGCATGTTCTTCAATGGGAGTTTCTTCAAGAGGCTGAGAGGATTGAGTTTGCTCAAATGGTTGTGAGGGTATTTGATTAAGGTCTATGAATTGACCAGTTAAAAGTTGTGTGTAGGACTGAAGGTCAGAATTCATATCATATGTTGGAAAAGATGGATTTATGGTTTCGTAAGTTTGGTAAGGTGAAGATGAAGGCGAAAGTTGTGGTGCCTGTGTTTCGTTTGTAGCAAATGTAACATATAATTCTATACCTGATTGAAGTTGATTTGAATCGTGGATATTGAACAGTGCCTCAACGTCTTCATCATCATTTAACTCAACACATGTGTAGTTACTAACTCCTGGGCCAAGTCTAATTGGGTAGCGAAAATGTACGGTTGTCACCTTTTCATTTTCGTCTCGGTTGAGTTTTGTGTGGATGATTTTCTTGAGCCTTTGTAGAGTCACTCCTCTCTTTAGATGTACCAATTTAGCTGATGATGAGGTGAACGTGACTCCTTCATAAGGACATTGGTTAATGGC